GACCTTATCTCCAACAACCGAAAACAACCAAACAAAAAAGCCAACATGACTGTGCCTGTCGCCTACTGTCCCCATCTACTTGTCTCCACTCTGGGCTGGTCTTCAGAGAGACCTTTGTAACCGAAGCGCTAGGAGCCCATTTTCATGGCCTCAAAGACTTCTTACTCTTCCCATCCAGAGAAAGGAAGAGGGGGAGGGTAAGACCAGACTATGGCAGTCACCCCATCCCTCAAAGGGGCAACAGGGCCACCGTCTCCTCTCTTCAATGCACCTCCTTGTGCCACCCCAAGGAAGCCAGTGAATTTCACGTTTTTCCCAGGAAAGGGTGGCTACCCGCCTGAGAGCCTCACCTCTATCTGTGCCCCCATATCCCTATTGGGACAGACACTGAATCCCAAATCAAAATCCCAAGAGGTGCTGAGCACCTCACTGACCACATAGACGTATTCCACCTTGCTCACACTGGGGTGTGTTTCCAGGCAGGCATAGGATGGACCCAGTGGGCACTACTGTGTGCATGTCAGGTTCCAAACCACCTGAGTCATCTGGGGAGAGCTGGTCAGTGTGGGCCACACTTCAAAGAGATGGACTATGTGCTGGAGGGTAGCCAGGATGCTGTGAGAACTTGAAGCCAGATCATTAAGAAGAGGCAGGCTGCTGAGCCTGGAGAAGAGGAGCATCTCTAGGGACCATGTCTGGGCTCTTCAAAGAAAAGAGGCCAAGATCAGAGGGGGAGAGAGGAGAGCAGAGGTTGGTCTGTGCATATGTATATGGAGTAGCCACAGCCTCATGGACTCTACGTGCCTAAAGGACCTCCGAGGCCAACCCCACTGACTGCAATGAAGAGAATTTTTCTGTTACTATCTGTGCAAATGTACTTACTACTCTATTATACACTCTACTCCAGCTTACGGCAGAATGTTGTAAGTGGCAAATGCCCATTGAGAAGTCCCACCTAGGTGAAAATGAACCCCTTACCCACAAACCACTTTTAATCACAATATACCAAACCACAGACCAAGTCCAGTCCGTAGGCTCTGTTAGTTGGTCGGCCTGCAAAAGTGCCTGTTTCATGTTATATTTGCACAGGAGGCTCCCTGGGGATGCACTGCAGCCTCAGAGACCAAGCCAGGAGCCCAGGAGCAAAGGGAGGTCCCAGAGGCAGGTGGGGCTCCATGGGAGGGGAGTGTTTCACTACTCAGTGTCAGCCACTGAGCCGTGGAGGGGATGCTGCTGGAGATAGTGGGCTTCTGGTCATGACAGAGCAGGGGGAGAGATTGGAATAAACCCTTGGGGTGGATGTGAATGATGACGTTCCTGTGCAGGGTGGGCTGTTGAGACCAACCCTGGTAGTCTCTATTTGGAAATCCACCATGGTCTTGTCCCCCAAGCTCTGAGGATGTGGGAGGCTGGGCTCACCAAAACATCCAATAAACCAGGATAGCCTGTGTTGAAACTCCTGGACCTGAAGAGTCATGGGACACTCACTGTGTCTTCAGGCGCTTGCATTGTTTCTGAAGCACTGCCTGTCTGTAGCCTGCCTGATCGTGTGCAAGAGGTTGTCCTATAATGGAGCTGGTCAACCATGTTCACCTTCCCTGCTAAGAACACAAGCTTTATGGAGGGAGGGACTTTTTTCCCTTGGTCTTGTTCAGTGTAATATTCCTAAAACCCAGAACATTATTGCTCCATAGCAAGTGAGGCATAAATGTTTGCAGTTGTGTGCACTGATGATTTATAGTGAAGGTGGCGGGGAAGGGGGGCTTTAGGGTTACCTGTGGTGCCTGCCACCTGACCCCCAGTACTCTCCCCTTTGCAGTCAGTGGGGTTGGCCTCGGAGGTCCTTTAGGCACCCCTTGGTGAAGACAACGCCAAAAGAGCTGACACGCTACCAGAGAGCCAAGCCCAAGCCTGATGAAGGTGACCTTGAGGCACATGGACTCCACGTCCACTGTCCCCACTACCCATTTCAGACCACAAGGGCAGGCAAAATTCTTGCATTGCACAGTATAGTGGCTGGAGTGTAGGGATTCCTCATCAAATATGCATAGCTTGAAAGAATAAATGGGAGCGTCTTATGGCTGCAAGGACTGCATGGTGAGTCCACCCCCAACAGTTCGTCATTCTCAGTCCCCTACTTTATTCCTCAACATTCCAGGATCAATGTGAGTCAGTTCACGGACAATTTTCCTAGGGTAACCAAGGAACAGTTAAGCTACGAAGAGATTTAGCTTCTGGGTGTGCCAGTGTGGGTGTGAAAATGTGTGTCAGTTTATCCATGTGTGTGAGTATGTACTCAGGTATTAAATGCATGCACCTGCAGGTATGTGAGTGCATATGTGACCGTCCCTGGGTCAACATTCCAATGGGACCGAGTGAGTGCATGGACATGTGTAGAGCCCCTGTGTATGAATTCTTGGTTGCTGGATCAAATTTCTGCTAGTACTATTTTCCTGGTACACACCCAATCTTGGTCTCTTTTCTTTTCCTTTCTTCTTGGAAATCCATTACTAAAAGGTTTTCTACCCGCCTCCAGGGGGAGAGGGGGCTGCGGGAAGGGGGAAGCTAAAATCACAAGACCTAGATCAAAACACTCAGCAGCTAAATGAATTCGGCGGCGTTTTCCTGCATGACTTGGAGGGATAATTTAGTGAGGCCGCCAGCTGGAAGGAAAGGGATTAATTCTGCACTTAGCACAGCTACAGTGAATAATTCATCACTGGAGACCTTTGTGCCCAGCCCCTGGGCAACTGGGAAAGTGTCCTGCCCACCTGCCTGTTGCCTGCCTGGGTCTACCAGTCCCCTGGTTAGGGGCACTGGATGCTCCTTTCAGTGGCAGGATGCATGTGCCCCAGTGCGGGGGCAGGAGGAAGAGTGAACTGAAGAAGGGGCTGGCAGTGACCTCTGGCAGACCCTACAACTCTGGGACCACCCCTGGAAGGCTGATCTCCTATCTGGGAAATGTGACATTTTTCTCCAAGGATCCTAAGTCCCCTTTCTTGGAGTCATCATCTTTTTCTGTGACTTCCCCTGCAGGGTGTTCTTGTTCCTGCTCCTGCTTTGGCAGTAGGGGGCTGTCATGGAGTACCTAACAAGCTCTCTCTCACCCAGGTATTAGGGGAATCTTGGGAGGATAATGCTGAATATTCAAAGCATTGGGTGAGGATGTGAGGGCGATCTGGCTGCAACATCTGTCACCCCTTTGATCTCTAGGGTTGATTCGGCTGATCTGGCTGGCTAGGCGGGTGTCCCCTTCCTCCCTCACCCCTCCATGTGTGTCCCTCCTGAAGCTGCATGCTCTGTCAAAGAGGACGACCACCCTCGATAGAGGACTGTTCTTCAGTCAAGGGTAGCTGTGCTCCCCTGCTAGAACCTCCCAACAAGCTCTCATGGCATTGGGTGAGAGAGAGGCCTGTGGGGAGATCCTTTGGGCTGGTACCTCACAAGCTGTACCCCTGTGCCCTGCACCATGGGGCTTCCTGTGTTCTTCATGGGTAAGGCCACAGGGCCAAGTACTATCCCAGAGCTGGAGGCTATGTGGCCTGGCATGGGCAGCTGACAGGAGTGGGTCAGCCCAGACGTCAGCTCCTGGACATTTCCTGACTTCATGGTGAAATTGCCCACATCCAAACACCAGAGGGGCAAATGGGAAAAATTCCAGGAGGTGCCTGCCAGATGCGTGGGAGCCCAATGGCCAGGGTCCAAGCTGAACTCTGAGCCCAGGTGTAGATGGCTAGAGAACAGCAGCCCATCCTTCAGGAAGGGCTCAGCCTTTCCACTTGGACCAACCCTGCTGTGGTAGGCAGGCACCCGAAATGGGTCCGCAAGATCTCATACCCTAATCCTCAGAACACATAATACAGCACTCTTGTGATTCTGTTGGGTAATGTGACACAGCTGACCTTTTTTGTTGTTGTTGTTTTGTGATGGGGTTTTTTTTTGAAATAGGGTCTCACAAACTCTTTGCCCAGGCTGACTTTGAACCATGATCCTCCTGATCTCTGCCTCATGAGTAGCTAGGATTACACAGCTGACCTTAAAAAGATAGGGAGATTATTCAGCTAACCAGACCTCATCACACCAGCCCCTTCTTTAATTCAAATTTTTTTGATAGTTCTGGGATTTGAACTCACAGTCTCCAGTGTACTAGGCAAGTACCCTGCCACTTGAGCCACACGTCTAGCCCTATCTGCTTTAGTTATTTTTCAGCTAGGGTCTTGCATTTTTTGCTCAAGGCTGGCCTCAGACTGTGATCCTCCTACTTCTGCCTCCCCAGCAGCTGGGATTACAGATGTACAATACCACACCTGACCTCATCAGCACCTTTAAAAGCATGGAACTTTCTCCGGCTGCTGACAGAAGAGGAAATCAGAATTTCAAAGTGTGAAGGGATTGGCTATGCCTGTTGGTATCATGGTGAAGTGGTCTGTGGTGAGAAGGAATGTGGGTGGGCCTCAGGAGTGGAGAGCACCCAGGCAGACAGTCAGCAAGGATTCCGGGATGTCGGCCCTCACTGCAGGGAGCTGGATCCTTCTATCCACACCCTGAATGAGCTTAGGATGAGATTCTTGCCCAGAGCCTTGGGAAAGGAATGTAACTCTGCCCAACATCTTGATTTCAGTCATACTGTGTCAACTACCTACCTACAGAGCGTTGGCTGGGAGATGGATGTTGTTTTAAGTCGCTAAGTTTGTGATGCAGCAAAAGAGATCTGACATCCTAGTAGACTACAACTGTAACTCCAGGCTTGGTTTGGGCTGGGTAAGAGACAGACACCTGGGTCTACATAGCCCTCTACTCTCAGCCCTCCTCTTCCTAATCAGTGTTCTCCCTGGTTTTCTGGAGCATCAAATCACCCTAGGTCACTTCCATCCAGAGCAGCGGTCCCCTCCTTCCTGAAGTCCCTGGCCCCAGGCCCTGAAGGCCAGCAACTGTGAAGGAGGTTGGACCACCTGAGGGTGACAGAGCAGGGAAGTGTCTGCCACTCTGTCCAGCCTTACCTCGGAGGAGAGCAGCTGGAAGGAAAGGTCTACCGTCGGGGCCTCACCACTTATAGTTTTCAGGTTGGTGTCCTGGGGAGAGGAAGGAGGCAGTCAGACCATACTGGCCAAGGCCATGTCAGGTCTCTACTGTACCCACTGTTCTGGATTCTCCAGGAAGGTAGGGGTTAGGGGCTGTGTCTAGGAGAGTGGGAGGGAGGCAGGAGCTGGCCTTCTGTCTGGAGTTCTCAACTTCTCCTGGTAGAGCAGAAGCTCCTGTTTTGTGAGTCTGTTATGTCAGGATGGCCAGAAATGTTTTAGGGGAAATAGAGGCATAGAAATGGAGAATAATACTTATTCTAAGTGCTTTTTGTATTTCCTGCAAAAATCTCACAGCAACCCTTGGAGAAAAGTACTATGACTATGTGCCCATTTTACAGACAAGGAAACTCGGGTGTTGAGACCTTAAGCAATTTTCCACAGTTGTGTAAGCTGGCAAGTGGTGGAATCAGAACTTGGATGAAGACAATCTGGTTGTAGAGCCTGAGAGCCTAAGTGTTATTATTATTATTTTTTTTTTGTGGTACTGTGGTTTGAACTCAGGGTCTTAAACTTGCTAGGCAGGTGCTCTACCACTTGAGCCACACTGTTCCTTTTTTTTTTTTTTTTTTTTTGAGACAGGGTCTTGCATCCCAAGTGTGGGGATTACAGTGTGTACTGCCATGTCACCCACCTCTAATATGGTGTTTCCATCTTAGAGGCCCAGAGAGGGTAGGTAATTTTCTCCAGGTTCCATGGAGAGGACAGGGGAAAATAGGATTTGAACCTACGTCTGTCACTGTCCCTGGGGACCCCCTGTGCAAGTCCCCAGGGGCCATCTCTCTGGTTTGGTTTTTCAGTCCCAGGGGCAAGATTGGTCTTTGGTGACCTGAGGGGTCGGCTTTCCTGGCGGGGGTCCTGGCAGAGGCTATTGAAGAAGCCATATTGTCCTTTGATATGTCAGGGCAAAGATGAGGTGGGACAGATGGGGGACTCATCTGGGGCAGAGACTCACAGTGATGGGGAGCCGCTCCACGTGCAGTCCATTCAAGCCTTTCCCTGTCAGCATCTTGCGGTACAAACGACTCTTTAGCGGCAACACAGAGACACCCAGGGGCTGGCCAAGGGTCCAAGGCTCACTGCCTTTCACTGTGGGGGAAAGACAAGCTGGAGCTCCAGATAAAGACACCCAGTTTCTCAGATACCAGCTTCTGGGCCCTATGTGAGCTCTATCTCTAGATACGGGTTCCCACTGCCCACCTGCTTCCCTTGGCTTTTTCCTGCACACACCCCAACTCTAAACAGATTCTGCATCTTTGGGTATTTATATGGATTGCCCTGGCAGCTTTGACTGATCCAGACTGTGGCAGTGAGACTGGATCAGCTGATCTCTGAATTGTGTCTCCCCAACTCCTCCTTGTGCACTCAGGGGGTTATAAACTCTTGAGGACTCCCCTTCCCTCCTCACCGATATGTGTGATGAAAACACCTGATGCTAGTGTGAGCATAGGCCCATGCGTCCTGGCCTGTGCAACGCCATGGACAAAGATCCCAGCTAGATCCTCCTCTACTTGTCTGCCTGCACTGGGAGGCTGCCTGGCACCTGGGAGCCCTTAGCCCATCCCTACAGGAGGTAGAAGCAGGATGGTTCAAACACCCCTCAAATGAATCTCTCGAAGTGTGGCTCCCTGGTATGGCCACCCTGGCATGGCACTGGGGCACTTACTTGAGGGGGAGGAATAGAATTGTAGCACCAGGGCTGTGTCTTCTGAGAAGTTGGTGGCTCCATCTCGGCCTTGGAAGAGGAAAGACTGATTCCACCAGGGCTGCTCTGGGGGTCCCCCCAGCTTGGACAGCTGAAAGGAGAGGATAGGAACAGTATGAGGTTACAGTTTCTCCCAAATCAAGATATGTGGTTTTGTGTGACTATACACCTGCCACAAATGATTGTCACAATTATAAAAGCAACACACACTGTTGAATACATTTTAGAAAATACAAAAGAGTGACTCCTTTTCACTCTTTAAAACTGTGTTTCCTCTACTAAAAACTCTACTAAAAACTGTGTTTCTTTTCTAGTTTTTCCCCATGCATATTTTATATATAATTGTCATTTTATCATTCTGCCTTTTCCATTTACCATACCATCAAAAGCTAAACTATCCAGAGTGACAAGAAACTCATTACTCATGAGTTTAGTAAGTTCAAGGTATCCTGTGTGTCCAAGTGCCTTGGTTTTTTTTTTTTTTTTTTTTTTGTGGCACTGGGGCTTGAATTCAAGGCCTTCACCTTGAGCCACTCCACCAGCCCTATTTTTATTAAGGATTTTTGAGATAGGGTTTCACGAAGTATTTGCCTGGGCTGGCTTCGAGCCAAGATCCTCCTGATCTCTGCCTCCTGAATAGCTAGGATTACAGGTGTGAGCCACCAGTGCCCGACCCTTCTGTGTTTTCCACAACACGGCACTGAAGGCCCTTTGCCCCATACCTCTGTATCTCAAGTTATTTTACTGCAAATACTTCAAAAATTGGTGAATTAAAGGACATACATACATATTTGACTCACTTTGGTGAGCTGTTTTCCTAAAGTGTTGCACAATATTCACAGCCATGGAGGGTGGTGCCATTAGTGTGAAATTGGACATGATCTCCACCCTTGTCACCAGCCCCTCACTGCCCACTACAGGTTCCCCAGCCCCTTGCAGAAGGCCATGACAGGAATTCAGACTCTGGAGTGGTTGGTGTGGGCCATCAGGCACATGGGTGACTTGATGGCATACTAAGCCAGCTGGGGCTTTAGTCAAAGAAACAAAGAAACAAAGTATTATCTAATGCTCAAATAAAGGGGCTACATGAGACATTCTGTGAGTGGTCAGAAAACTGTCTTCAAGCAAGCAGAAGCAGAGGAAGTATCCAAAGGAAGATTCAGCTGGGTGAAGGAGGGAAAGGGGTCTTTTGGGTAGGAAAATGGCACAAGCAACAAAACGTGGAGGTGGTACCATCAAGCTTGGCATGTGTGGAGGACTCTTGGGATGAGGAGGGACCGGGTGAGGCCCGGCATCCACAGAGGATGGAAGGTGGGGGATGGGAGATGGGGTGTCAGCCTGTAGCTCCCAGCAGTCAGCCCTGTGTGGTCCCAGCATGAGGAGGGGCTGCAGGTCACCAGCACAGACTGGTGACTACCTTGCCTCTGCCCCTGTCAGGAGCTGTCAGCAACAGTGACAGCAGCTCCCACCTCCTGTTCCCCTGCGGGGATCAGTCATGGCTTGAAAAGGTCAGCACAAATGTACCACGGGCTCCAGGAATTATTGATGCAAGGTGGAGGAGCATCAGTAGGGGCTCACTCCCCACGGGGGCAGGGCCCTGATGCTTGTTGTACTAATATGCCAGTTCTGGTCCTCCCAGCCTGAGACTCAAGTTGTATATTCCCGTCCTCAGGGAGTTGGGTGGTGGAAGCTATAGGGCTGGGTGTCCTGAATACTGGGACAGTGACTGTGGTGATAGGACACGCATGGTGAAACCTGCTCCTCTGGTTCTGCTGAGCTTAGTGGGATCTTTCAGGATGAACCCCAAACCAAGTCCGTCCCAGAGCCACCCCTTCTCCTGGTAGCCTGGACCAGTTGCCAGGCGTTGGGGTACTCAGGGAGGGCCTGTGTCTCAGTCCCCTTCTGCCATCCTGGGAGGGGGTGAAGTTGATGGATGTGAGCTGTCTGCTCTGGGATCTCTTAAGGTGTCTAAAAGGAGTCCACAGAGTGGATGCCTGCCCCAAAATGGACAGTGCCTTCCCCAGGGTAGCCTCCCAGGAAAGGCCCTGCATACCTAGAACTGGGGATGGAGGACCAGCCCCACACCCCTTGTGTGTACACGTACATGCATGTAGAACTCAAAGTTAAATAACCTGCAGTCTGCAGTCAGGGTCCCCGGGAAGGTGCTAGTGGCTGATGTAGAAAGGCCATGGTGGGCTGGGAATTAAGGGATGTGATTAATCCTCAGCTGTGATCTTCAGAAAAGTCATTAACTGCAGATCACTGAGGCAGACCTGCCTTCCCTGGGGACAGGGACCTCATTCCATCAACCACAGCCCCTCCTCCTGGCTCCCCTGGGCCCACCCTCACCCACACCCACACCTTCTGCTGCCTGCGCCCGGCCAGGCATAGTGGGGGCCATGCTGGGAAGAGTAGCTTCTGGCAGCTGAGGTGGGGTCTCCAGGGAGTTAGGACTCCTTGGCTCTGGGCCTGGGTGTACCTCAACCTTGCTGAGACCTTCAGCAAGTTCCTTCCTCTCTCTGGGACCTGGTTTCTCATTATCCAAGGGGAAAATGCCACGCGCTACAGCCAGTTGGGAGGTAGAGGAAGAAATGAATACTTTACTACTAAGGTCAAAGTTCAATTCAACTGAATTCAGCAAACGTTGCCTGTTGCCTGGGTGGCTTCTCTATGACAGACATGTGCGGGATGTTACAGGGAACATGGGGGAGCCAGACCCTGCCCCACCTAGAACTCACCATCTGCCAGGGGAGCAGGGCACACACACACACCAAGGATCCCAGCAGAAGCCTGAGCAAGTTGTGGTGGTGGCAGCTGGGATGACAGAGGAGAAAAGCCACATCCTTGAGAAGGGGCAGGGAGGACATGGCAGCAGTAAGGAGGAGCAAGGCCATTCCAGGCTGAGAGGACAGCAGAGGGGACAACTGGAGACAGAGGACAGCGTGGATGTGGGCAGCAGCAGGTCCTCCACGGGACTGGGGAATGCCTGTGTGACTTGGAGTAATGAGCCAGGGGGCTGGAGGAGGCCTCATGGACCTGGCTAAGGGGGGTCTTCATCTTGTTGGTGATAGAGATGAGGGGTCCTAGGGAAGGACCTAATGCGGGAAGGGGGTGCTCTGCCTTTTTCTCAGAGGAGGAATGGGAGGGGTTGGAGTGGGGCTGCAATGGCCCAGGCAAGTGAGGAGTCCCCATTAGGGGGCCCATGAGGACTTGGGGAGACTGGCTGTGGGGCTGAGACAGGAGGAGGAGGAGATGGTGGTGGGCACAGAGGCTTTTTTCACCCGTTTGTGTTGCAGTTGATGCTCCACCCCAGCTCTGCAGGAGGCCAGTGCAATGGGAGCAGTCTGTTGGGTCCAGCTGGCTTCATCCAGTCAGATGTCCACCTACCCCTTACCTCATCAGAGCCCGGGTTTTGTCATCCTCACAAGGCCACTGCCAGCTTGCTCCTTCCAACCACTCCCCTCCCTGCCTCTCAGCTAACAGACTGCGGGTAGTCCAGGTGGCTTCCTCCCTACACTTGCCAGCATTGTTTACCGGAGAGCCACTCCCTCCTCAGTGATTGGCTCAGGGAAGTTCATGTGACCCAATGCTGGCCAATGAGAAGAGAAGGGAGGTCTGCTGAGGGTTTGGTGGGTGGGGTTGGTTTCTAGTTTCTCATAAGAACCACACTTAGGAGGCTGCTCTCTTCCACTGGCCTTTTGTGGTATCTGGAGAGGGTAACTGGGACGTTTTGTCCTCAAAGCTATCAGGTAGCTGAGGATGGCAATTTCAGGGTATTATATACTTCATCTTTGAGGACAACCAATTTTAGCAGCATCCTGTGTTGGGACTTCTTGCAATGCGTGGCAATATATATCCTTAGTGTTTAGGTCCATCTGAGTTGGAGCTTTATCCAGATTGCCTTTAAATTCTCCTAACAGCCCCACAAGGCAGAAATAAGTAGGACAGGAGGAATCGAGCAGCTAGATAATGATTACATAGCTAGTCAGCCACAGAGCTGGAGTCAAACTCAGCTGTGCTGGACCCTCCAGCCTCTGCCCACCATGCTTTGTTTGGTATGGTGGCAACTGGTGGAAATTACAACACCCCATGATGTCAGAGAGGATAGTCCCTAGAAATTTCCTAGTCCAGTCCCCCTCCCTTCACCCGTAGAGATGAGAAGAGTAAAGTTCAGAGGGTACAGGGATGGGACTGGAAGAGCTCTGAGCCCTGGGCTGCTGGCTGCTGCCCTTCCCCGCGCAACTCCTCCCTTATAGCACCTGTCCCTGTTCTCTATTGCTGGCGCTGGGCTCCTCTGTGCAGGCTGCCAGCCAGATCTCAACCCAACCAGGCTATCACATTGCTAGGTGACCTTCAGCAAGTGTACTGCCACTGCCAGACCACTGATCTTGAGCCTCACATATGGAAAAGCCATCCCGGAGGGGAGAGTCTCTGTATTGAGGGGCACCTCCCCCACTCAGACCAGTTAGGCAGCAGAGGCAGCCAGAGAGGGCCCAGAATGGGAAGGGGCTCTCTCATTAAAGCAGGCAGTGCCTCCCGCCCCTCGGGACAGCCTGCTGATTGGTTCATAATTTTCTGGGCAAATGCAGGACCATGTGTGGGATGACTCTGGGGAAATCAGGCTGAGGATTGGTTTGGGTTTGAAGCTTCTGTCCCTAGGGTCCCCCTCTATCCCACCCCTCCATCACTCTTGCCTGTATCTGAAACTTCTTCAAATGTCTTTGCCTTTAAATGAAGGCTGGGGCTCCAAAGGAATATCTTGGTCTAGTTTTGCAGTGCCAGACATGAGAATTGGTGGGCAAACAGCACGAAGCACTTCTAAGAGTCCCCCTGTCCTCCAAGACTCCTAGGAATGGTGGAACCATTGTGGAGAGCAAGCTTCCACTGAAATACAGGCCACAGGAAGAGATTGAGCTGGCCGTTCCTCTGGATCCAGCCACGATCTGTATACCCTGCCCCAGCACACTCAGGCACACTGCCTTTTGCTTACCCCCGCATGCACCATGTTCTGGGAATCTATACCTTGCACTGTGCTCTCCTGTTCTCACATGCCCTGCACCAATCTCCTCCACCGAAAAGTCAAGACCGCCCTCCTTAATCACCTAGTCACATCCCTCTCCTCTGATTTATTGAAATTTTATTGCATAAAATTTACCTTTCTGGGGGCAGTACTGGGGTTTGAACTTAGGGCTTCATGCTTGCTAGGCAGGCACTCTACACTTGAGTCATGACTCCAGGATTTTTTACTTTATTTTTCAGATAGAGTCTCATGCTTTTTTTGCCCAGACTGGCTTTGGACCATGATCTTCCTATCTATGCCTCCCATGTAGCTGGGATTATAGGGGTGATCCACCATGTCCAGCCAAAATTTACCATTTTAAGTGCACAGTTCAGTGGTGTTAAATGCATTCATATTGTTGTGCAACTGTCACAACTATCTATTCCAGAACTTTTTCATCACGTTAAACAGCAACTCCATACCCATTAAGCAATAGCTCCCCCTTCTCTCTCCCTGGTAACCACTCTTCTACTTTTCATCTCTGTGAATGTGCTGATTTTAGGTTCCCCCTGTAAATGGACAATATATGTCCTTTTGTGTCTCCTCTCCTCTGGTCCTGTGTCTCTACTAGTCCCTCCTGGTTTGTTATTGGATTATGCATGATTTTTAACATTTCTGTGTGTGGGGGCTCTACCTTCACCAGATTAGGAGCTCCCTAAGAGCAGACAAGCCTGGTCCTGGAATGCAGCAGGATGTAGCAAACTCTTTATAGTCAAGTGAGCTGCTGGCTGGGTGAGTGGATGGGCCTTACTAGAAGTGGGTGCCAGTAAGAGGGTGGAGGAGGGAAGGAGACATACCTGAGGGCACCCATTCTGGCTGACCCGAGGCACATCAAAATTCATCACGGATGATACAGGGAAGGAGAGCGGGGTGATGGGCAGTCCCATGGAGGCTGGGTCCCGCCTTGCCTGGTTGCCCCTGGGGAGGCAAGGAGATAGGGGTTGGTACTGTCCGTCCTGTGCCCACCCTGGACCTGGGGCTCCCACTTCGACTCTGGGGATTGATGTGAGAGGGGGACAGTAGTGGTCTGCTTCATTCAGGTTGTGATATAGCTGGTGGACCCTTTTCCTCTGATCACTGGAAAGTTCAACTTGGTCAGGAGATGGGCTGTAGCTTCCAGGTTCCCTTATCTGTGACTTGCTGTGGCCTTGGCTACATCTGATAGGTCAGATTTTCCATCTTTAAAATGGGCCTTGTATTTCCTGCCTCCTATTTGCAAGACCTGGTCAGAATATGCCCCATGCCTCCTGGGAATCCTGGTTTCAGCTTGAGGGACACAGCCTGTGTGGGTGTATGTGTGTAGGAATGGTATGTGTGTATGTTTGTTGGTATATGTGTATGGGTATGTCTGTATGTGTGTATATCTGTGTGTGTTTGTGTGAATATATGTGTATCTGTGTGTCTGTATGATTATATATTTGATTGTGGGTATGGGTGTGTATGTGTCCTGTATATATGTGTGTTTGTGTGTGTGTGCATGTAGGTATGAGTGCATGTGTGTATGTGTCTGGGTGCATGTATACATATGTGTGTAGGTGTGCTTATTTATGTGTGTGTGTATATGAATGTGTGTATGTGTATGTTTGTGTATATAAACACCTGTATGTGTACGTTTATGTGTGCATATGTGTTTGTGTATTGTTATACATTTGCATGTGAGCATGTATGTGTGCTTAGTTGTGTTTGTGTTTGTATGTCTATATGTCTGTGTATGTGTTTGTGTGCATGTGCATGTGTACACACGTGCTGGGATTATCAGACTTGGCATTGGTATCAGTCACCTTTGCTTCTACAAGCAAGGAAGGAGCTCGTTGGTCATTAAAACTCCACAGGGGGTTCAGATGAGTCAGAGCCAGTGGAAGTGACAGGGGTAGATAGGTGACACCCAGGAGAGGTGCTGTCACAGAGAGGACCAGCTCTTCAGAGTACTTTTCCTACTGTGTCCTCCAGGGGCCAAACTAGCCTGACTCCCCTTCCTGAGGACAGTGGATCCAAAGGAGGTCTGGAGCTGGGCTAGAGAGACCACTAGGTGAGGACGGAAAGGACTCCTGGACAGGGCAAATGTCAGGAGTTCCAAGATGGCCTTAGGCTGGCTTCTTTGGAGATAACCATTAACTGCAGTCTATGGCCCTGAACTAGAGGAGAGGGACTTTGGGGGGTGGTAAGCACGAGATGAAGGGCAGGGGCACTCTGGGCAGGGAAAGAAACCCCTCTCATCCTCCTCACCAGGCGTGGGTTAGGCGCACATCCCCCTCCCCACCTGCTCCAAGGAGAGGCTCCTACCCCTTTCCAGCGGCCCAGAGTCTCCTGGGGGAGGAAAGGCCTGGCCTGCTGTGGGAAACTCACTGGGACCTCAGACCCAGGTGTGGAGGAGCTTTGAGGGTCTTGGGAGGTGGGTTTCCAGAGCTCCTGGAATCAGTTTGTGGTGGCAATGACAGCCTCTCCCATCCTCTGCCCTCTGCCCTCCTCTCCTGCGCCCACCTGGGCCCCACTCACTTAAACTCCTTGTAGTTGGGAACCACCCGGGCAACTACCACCATGGGGTTGGGGTTGTTGGCTAGAGGCTCGTTGATTCCGTGAAGTAAGACCTAGAGAAGAGAAGAGGCAGGTGAAGGCTGTGTAGACTAGGGCCGGTCAGAGACAAGGTTAATCTGGCCAGCCCAACTGCCATCTTTCTCCCCTGCTGTGCTCATCCTGCACTACTTGCTCTTCCCTGCCTACCTTAGTTCTTGCTTTGTGCCCTGCTTCAGGAAGTCAGCCTTCCCTGTCTGGCTAAGGCAAGTGCGCCTGGTTTCCTTGGGGCACTATCAGGACTCAGCAGTGAATCTCTTTACCCCCTTGGGTACAAGGGAGGAGGTCTGGAGAGTTGGGTTCTACCCTTGGTTCCTTGGGCAGAATTAGGGTTAGGTAGGTGTTCTAGCTCCTCCATTTCTGTCAATCAAAGGGAGGTGAAAGCCCTGGTCCAGGCCCCTCCGGGGTTGCGAGGAGTCTCTGATCAGATTTTTGTGAGAAGACACTTTGTAAATGGAGAACACCAAGCTTGGTTTCTCCAATTGCATTGAGCTTCTGGTGTTAGAGGTCACAGGCAGTCCTTGGAGTCCTTTCCCCAATGCTCATCACCCCTGGCACCTGCTCACCCCAGGGCCTTCCCAGCAAGGGCTCATTTGGATCAGAGTCTCTAGCGTCAGCGTCTCCTGGTCCTCTCTCTCCATAAAATCCCAGTCCTCACTCCCCCTGCGCCCAGCAATGATGACCTCAGTCCACTGTCACCTCCTGAGGCTTCCCTGAACTCGAGGCTTGGTTTCCATCTCCTCCCCTTGGCTTCCAGTGGGAGGCAGCAGAGCAGAAGTGGGCATGGGGACAACTTTGCTCCAGTCTTCACTGGCTGGGCACTAGGGGGACAGAGGGAGAATACAGGGATTCTGGTGCTACATACCCCTTCTGCCATACCAAGAGCTCCTGGTCTGGCCCCTCCTGGTTCTCACCCCTCATCTGCCAGTGTCTCCCATTTACCTCACAGCTCTTTCCCTGCTTCCCCTCCCCCGCAACAGCCAACAGCCATTCCTGTTCTTTCTCTGCCCCCTCACTGGCCTCTCCACTTCCATTCCCACCCAACCCATCCCCTTTCCCAGTCATGGTAGCACACATGTCTTTTTAGAAATGCACTTCCCTGCTGACACCCTGCAATGGCCTCCCTAGAATACATTCCACATTTGATGTGGTGGCACTGGGTATCCAACACAGGGCCACATGCATACCAGGCAAGGGTTCTACCACTGAGCTATACCCCCCAGTCTTCATTCCATAGGTTTTTTTGTTGTGGTGGTGGTGGTGGTGGTAGCAGTACTGGTGTTTGAACTCAGGGCATGGTGCTTACTGGGCAGACAATCTACCTCTTGAGTCATTCTGCTAGCCATTTTTGCTTTAGTTATTTTTCAAAGAGGATCTTGATTTTATGCCCAGGCCAGCCTCTACTGCAATCCCCCTATTTACACTTCCCACATAGCTGGGTGCCACCATGCCCAGCTTTTATATTGGTTAATTTGGGGTCTCACTAACTGTTTGCCTGGGCTGGCCTCAAACTGAGATCTTTCCAAGTAGCTAGGATTACAGGTGTGAGCCACTGTGCCCGGCTCATTCCCTAGTTCTTACCATGTTGCCAAGGCTTGTATGCATTGGCCTGTCTGCCCCTCTGCCCACATCTCCTGCCATCTCCCCAGCCACTTTTTGCTCCAGCCTCTTTTTCTCTTAGTCTCCCGACATGCTGTGCCTCAGGGTCTTTGCAGGTGCTGATCCCTTTGCCTGGATCCCCATCTCCCACCAACTCATCATGGCTGCTGCCTCTCCTCTACTAGCTACACAGCACCACCTCTGAGCGGTCTTCTGACCACTGTCACTAAAGCAGGCCACCCATTGTCTCTTGACCACAGTATTCCTCTCCCACAGCACTGCTGTGGAGGCTTCTGCTTCTTCTAATATATTTCTTGCTTATTTTTCTGTTTGACTAGAAGCCAATCTCCACCTAGGCAGGGAGCACTCCTGTCTTATTCACTGCTGTATCTTCAACTTTTAGCACAAGGGCCTGGTACAGAGGCAGTAGGTAAATGCATGTTTGTAGGATAAACAAGAAATGGGGCAACAGGTGAAGGAGAGGTTGTCTCTGTGCTTCTGAGTGCAAAAGAGAAAGACAGATAAACAGAGACCTGGGAAGGAGGAGGGGAGGAGTCATGCAGTGACCTCAGGAGATGGGTAGGGCCCTAAGGAGGAAAAGCAGGAGGGGGAGGGGCTCTGGGGACCTGGCCTGGGCACATCTTGTGATGGGAAGAGGCCTTCACTGTGTGTTCCCCAGCTTGATTACCTTGGTCAGTCCCTTCTCCACTCTGGGCCTCAGTTTCTCAACTTCTACACTGATCATTTGGATCATAATCTCCAGAGCTAGAAAGGAGAGGACTCAGGAGTGGGACTTGTTCTGGATCTCTTTCCTTTCCTCCTCTTTCTCTCAGCATCCTCCCTAAGGCCTCTCTGCCACAACTCATCTCAGCTGACTGCCAGCTAACTCTGCACAGGTGTGGGCTGGTAAGCACTTAAAATAGTCCTTAGCACCTTTCTGCTCTCCTGGGGCCTCCCCAGTGAGTCTCTGATGGTGGCATTTTATGGGAGAGCTCTCCATCAGGTCCTGTGCTCACAGTACTCCAGCAGGTGTAAGAGCTGAGGGGGCCCAGCTAAGAGGTGGGAGGGGGCGCTCATTTCCTCATTCTGTGCTGCCTCTGGCCAGGAGTGAATGAGACAGCTGCCCATCACAGCCCAGGGAGAAACAGAAGCAATTGCTTGTCCTGCTGTGCTCTCTGGTCCTCCATTAGGAGCAGACAGCCGCTCCTGTGGCCATCACACAGCCAGGTGGCATCTATCCTGGAGGAGCAGGCAGGGTGCTGGGGCCAGGGAGGCAAGTCAGGGGGTGGGAGAAGTGGGGCAGGTCCATGGTGACCCCCTGCAGACCCAAGGTTCTGCCTAGGTCTTGGGGATGTGGCTCCCCCTCCCTGTGCGGTGCGGCTTGGGGAGAGCAAAGCTGTATTCTTCTTGTTCTGTGTGTGAGCGAGCAGCTGGCTGTCCTCAGGAAAGGGCAAAATAGAAGAGAGGATAGAGAGGGTGCCTGCTGGCATCCAAGGGGTGGCTGTGGGGAATTAGAGATGAGAGTAAGGAGCTCTGGCTTCCCTACTGGAATCCCTTTGGGTCTCAGTGACCCCAGCTGTAAACTAGGGGCAAAAGAATAGCTCTTACCCTGCTAGACTCAGTGCAGTGAGGGGTGGGGGATCAGATCAGCTGTTCGGGGTAGGGAAAGTCCAGCGTGGGTCCTGTGGGTCATACCCAGACCATGCCAGATGCAAATCCATCACCCATGGGCAGTTTGAAGGCTGTTGGGAAGGGAAGAGGGGCCAGGCCCCTGGACCATGTTGGCCATGAATCTGCTAGAAGGCTGAAGGTCATGGGTCAGCGATGGAGGCCTGGCCTAAACTGGACCCAGCCCTGGCCTGCCTAACGGAAGGGTGGGTGAGTGAATGAGCTCCCGAATGCCTGAATCATCAGACCAGTCACACCTCAGGAGGGGTCGTGGAGGCTCTTAGCTTTTTTGCTTGGGGACTTAGGCTCTAAGTCAGAGGTCACTACCCCAGGAAGGAAGAACAGGACTGAAAACAGCCAGAGACTATGGGCAAGCGGTGGGTGGGTGGGTGGGGGCAGCACAGGGCTTCTCCCCTGTTTTCATGAGCGTCAGGGAGTCCTAAGGTTGCAGGAGGCCCTGTGCTCTCTGCAGCACAGGAGTGCATAAGGAGCAGAGCTGTGGCTCAGGCCCTCCCCTCATGTCTAAGGTTAGTGAGGGATGGAGAGGTCCAGGCACTTTTGTCCAAAACAGGATCTTGTTTAACAAACCACTTTGGCTGTTTTGGAAAGGTTCAGTGTTTTTTTCCCTCTCTTGATTTCTAGGCTCATATTCTCAGGCAAGTCAGAGGTGGCCAAGGACAGGATCTGAGGCCTGCTCAAAGCCTGGTCCCTTCTCACCCTACCTGCCACCCAGGAAAGCTCCAGGCCTGGTACCTCCAGAGCTGTATGGTCACAGCCGATGTAGCGGGGTATGAAGCTGCCCTTCCGAATGACAGTTGCATATAGCCGGGTCTCTGTGTTGTCTTCATTGGTTTTCCCAGACTTGGCGGGCTGGAGACACACAAGAAGGAGAGTGTCTAAGGGGCAGAGCCTGGCCATAAATCCAGACCTCTGCAGACGATCACTTGGCATCGCTCCACCGGGGTTTGGAGCTGATAATTAAAGCTCATCGTCCCTGCGAGCCCTTTCAAGGAGATCGATATAATAAATCTTTGCTTTTCCATTTGAATATTTCATCGCCCTTACAAGGACCACTGCCTGCTGCTCTCTTGGTAAAGATGTGATAATGAGGCCTGGGTCGTAAGTGGACAGAGGGGACCTGGCTGATGCTCCCAGAACTGCAGCTTTGGGGCTGAGTGTCTAGGCTGTCACTTATCTCTCTGGGCCTTTGCTTCCCACTCTGCCCCTGGTGTCTCCTTCTGAAGCCCTGGGGTCGGGGTTCCCTTTGGGACCCAGGAAAGGTAAAGACTACTGGGGCCATGGTCAAAGAGTTGCTTGGCAAGGTTGGTGCCAGGGTCTAGAGAAGGAAGGGAAACCAAATACCTCCCGTGTACCAGGCCTCTTGCCCTCACTGCATTGAACCCCTCAGATGTCCCTACCTAGAGGTACAATGTCTCACCTTTGGTGATGAACAGGAGGCCTAGGGTTAAGCAGTTCCTGTGGGTATCCACCAGTAAGTGGCAGGCCTGGGACAGGCACCTAGACATTTGGCCTCACATTGGTCCTTAAACCACTACAGGGGAGGGCACATGGGGGAGGGGGAGGGATGCTTCTGCTCATTTGTGGCCCAGTTCTGAATAAATACTTGAGCAATGAGGAAGAGAATTCTCTCTCCTCCGCCAATCAGCACTGGGCAGGAGACAAGGGGAGTGGACCTGAGAGGCCCTGAGGCTTCCCACTTCAGGCTGGTGGCCAGTTGTCTCCTAGAAGGGGGCATTCTGGGGAAGGCTTTGCCTGCCACAGGTTCCGCTTCTCCTGCACCTTCCTTTTGCCACTGCAGAATGTGGAACAGCAAGAAAGGACTGGCTTGAGAGGCAAGCTTGACCGGGACTCACCCTCAACTCTGCTCTCAGAGACTAGTTGGGGCATCAGAGTGCTCCCCACCAGCTCTCCCCAACCTGGCCAGAGCAAAGGGTTCGGACTCACCTTCACCAGCTCAAAGTGGTAGGGGTGGAAGACACGCAAATACTTGATGGGGATTTTGTAGGACAACAGCTCCTCTTTCTTTTTGCTGTCTACCACCTTGAGGACCATATCTGAAGAGAGGAAAATGAGCACAGGGTCAAGTCAGGGCTTAACTGACCGCCTTCCTTCCCAAGGATGTGAGACAGTGAGAGGTGAGATACATTACTAAGAGCCAGGGACACAGAGAAATCAGCCTGCACGCTCCTTCTACAATCCCTCCCAGTCTAGGAGTGGACACTAAGCCTAGTGCCCATTATAACAGACACATATGTGTACACAGTGATACACAGGCAAGCGGGAACAGTGTTCCTTGCAGGGATACATCCTCTTCCCTTGGTTGTGCACACTCCTAGCAGCTCCTTAGACAGGGTGAAGAGGGGTTATTGTTCCAGTGTTGTGGATGGGGGGACAGAGGCTCAGCAAGGAGAAGGGATCTGCTTAAGAAATCCTTCAATGTCATGTCCTTAAGTCTACTCCAGTAAGCAAAAAGTAGTCTCAACCCTAAGAACAACACAACACCTAGTAAACACCCCCAAAGAGACTGTGTTTTCTCTTAAAACAGCATGAACTTCAGATGGACCTTAGGAGAACAGCAGTATCCTGAAAACAATCAGGATGGACCCACTTAGTGAGCACCTGCTGTGTGCCGGCATGGTAATGGGGACTACTCAGCCACTATTCCAGCAAATCCTGATTATGGTAGACACCACTAGCTCTGTTCTTAAAATATGAACAATGGACTACAGAGGGTTATATAACCGGATCAACATCACACAGCTGGGTGGTGGGAGAGGCTAGATTTGGTGACCTGCAAGGAGTCTTCCCATTCTTGGAAATCTGTGATTTGTGAAGGAGGAAGAGACAGGGAAGGAGGAAAGGAAGAGAAGGATGAAGGAGAGATAAAGGAGGGATGAGGGAGATAGAGAAAGAGGAAGATAAAAGAGATCCAGAGAGGAATGGGGAAGAGAGGACAGGAGGCTCCCAGTGGGAGCCTCTCTCCTCCAGAGGAGGACATTTCAGCACCACAGACAGCTACCGGCCCTGGAAAGTTTCAGCAGCTGGTGACTTGGAGTTAGGTGGGTCATTTGGATGTGGGATGGAGAAGGAAGCTGAAGGCTTACTAACTAGTCTTTCCTTCTCATTCTTCCCTACAACTACCCTGAATACACACCAAGAGAAGACCGAAGGGGACCCATGCTCAAAGGGAAGAGGCCAAAAGGCCTCTTGAAGAAAGTAGAATATGGGGAGGGATTTGAAGTTTGCAGACCTGGGTTCTAGTATTGAGACACTAACTTGTTCTGTGACCTTTAGTAAATCACTTAGCCTCTCTGAGCTTCTTGCATCTGCTCCGAAAAATGTTAATCCTTTAAACAAACGAATGGAGAGAAAGAAACCCTGACCTTCCCCGAGGATTGTTGATGGAGATGACTTGTATTTCAAACTATAAAATTCTGTACAAATGTTCCTCATGGCTGTCAGTATTTTCCCCTTGTTAACCATCTACATCTCTCTGTACACTTGTCCAGCCCTAAGGAAACTCAGCTAGGGATTCCAGCACTCCCAGTCAAGGTCACAGTACCTGTGGAGGCTTCAGTCCCTCGTGCCCCACTGCCCATGGGCCCAGATCTGATTGGAATTTGCTGAGGCCTTGTTTCCCTCCCCACCCCCATACCCCAGCGACTCTATGTAGAAGCAGTGAGCCGTAAAGGGAGGGGGATGGACAGCCATCCCCCTCTGCTCCTGTCATCGGCTTCCTATCTGGGCATTGTGCCCTTCTGGCCTCCTATGGCTCCCTTTGTGTGGCCAACAAGCCATTTCTGCCACCCGCCTGCTTTGGCCCTGACCCAGGGTCTGAAACTCCCCTTTGCTTTTCATTTACACATCCTCCTCCCACCTTTTGGCCTGGCCCCATCTCCCCCACCCTCTCTGCAGACATCACCACAGCAACCAGCTCTAACCAGGTTGCAACAAGCTACTTCAATCTGCTTTCACTATTCCCTGCCTGTCCACCCATACGGCCTCTTCATGCTTCTGTCCCCTCTACAATTAGTCCTACCCCCCTCTGCTGCACAGATGGACCCCAGGGCCACGACCTCATCACATCCTTCTCTCACCACAGATCTGTGCAGCTCAGGGCAGGATCCAGCCCAGATACACTCACCACACCCCCTAACTTTCTGCATGCACCACACACAAACCCATGCACGGCAAGGTACACATTACCATCCAGATACACCTGGGTACACACAGAGCACACCGTTGCAGCCAGACACACCCATGCACACACACACACATGCAACACACACAGATATGCACAGTTGTAGGCACAGAGAGAGGACATTCACGATAATGTTCACATGAGCACATGAACCAGTATGCAGACATTCACAAAGACATGTATATGCAAGCACACCTGTGTCTACATGAAATTCTAGGTCAGTTTCTCCTCTTCTGCATCGTCTCAAACTGTCCCCATAGCTCCACTTACTCCTTTACAAGCAGAAAAAATCCTCTGGCTTGACCTAGAACTGACCTCCTTCCCTTTTATGGAGGCCACCCTCATTTCCCTCTCTCCCTCCCAGTTTCTGGCAGACAGCTTTTTGCTCTTTGTGAAGTGAAGAATGAGTTCTGTCTAAGTCCCTGGCAAGAGTTCAAGGAGACAGGTAAGGCCTGTCCACTCAAAGAACAGCCACCAGCAAGAAGCCAGCCTGACACTGACCAGATGAGACCAGGGACAAGGCTGGGCACCTCTGCTCTGTGCTGCCTGATTCTGGTCCCCCTTAGCAGTCCTGGTACCAACCGGTCAGTACTCCTGTGTGCCCAGCTGAGCTCTTGCCTGAGAATGGATGTCAGATGGGCCCAGGGCATGGAACACGTATGTAGACACACTGGTACCTGATCTGAGACCCAGGAGGGGGTTGGGCAGGGATGAGGATCTATTCTGGGGACGCTGAAAACAAAACAAAACAAAACTCTAATGGAATCAGCTAGAGCCATGGAGCTCCAGTGAGAGGATGTGGGGCTGTCCTAGGCCTTCTTCTTACTGAGAACTGGAGCTTGGACAAGTTATTTAAATCTGCTGAGCTTCAAGTCTTCTCTTCCAAGCAATGGGAGCAGCATGGCTTCTACTGGAAGGTGGTGGTGATCAATGTGTGGGGACATGCCAGGAAGCCATAATGTGCCACTTCAGTGGGAGGCAGCAATAACAACCACCATGAAAATAATAACAGTCATAAAAAAAGATAAGCCTGCATTGTCTGGAAAATTCATTTACACAGAGCAACTCATTTTTCGAGCAGGCTGGGAGATGAGGCATAACGGTATTATGATTTTTTTTTTAAGTGCTTTTAGCTGAGCCTAGGGAGGCATTCAGGTGGCCTCCAGCTGGGTTGAGAGGGGCCTGTGTCTGCCTGACGTGGCTGTTGGGTTTATGCTCATTGTCTCTCCCACATAACCAGCCCACCCAGCCCCCAGCCTCACCTTCTTGCCCTGCATCCTCAGCTTGGATCTCTACTTTCACAGAGTCCCCCCAGATGGGGGCTCTGGTGGGCTCCAAGGTAACAGAGGTGACTGCCTTGGAGCTCTGTCTGTGGGCTTCCTCAGATGTGGTTTTCCTGGGGAGGAAGAGGCAGGCTGAGTCACAGGAAGCATCCTGCCTGCTTCAGGTCCCCCTCTCAGACTCCACTGTCCATAAATCTGAGTAAAAGTGGACAAATCATGGAGACCTCCCCTTCCCCAGTGCATAGACACTCATGTTGTCCCAGGCCTGGTGGATGCCAAGCCTCTCCCCTCAGCTGCCCTGCCTGCCAGATGACCACATCTCCTCACTGGCCACTGCTAAGGCCTTTGCTTAGAGTCAGGAACCAAAGGCTCAGGGTAGGAGTGCAGTAGACGCCATGCCTGTCTGAGTTCTGCCCCTTGCCAGAGACGGCTTTCCAGCAGGTGCCTGTGTGTGCTGTCCTCCTGATCTACCTCTTCCCTAGGTTCAGTTCAGTGGAAGGAAGCTTCTGGATTGTGGGGCTGTAAGGAGCCTCACCTAGCTGCCCACTCCTCTCGGCCTTTGTTTCTCTAAGCTTATGGTCCAGAATCCCAGATGGGCCAAGTTGTCCAGTTGTGAACCCTCTCGGTAGAGCATAAACATGTCACTGTCTCCTGTAGTGTCCACTTTGTGCAGGGCCTTGGGCTAGGCACCTGGAGGAGCTGGGCATGGGGGCAGAAGTGAGCAGTTTCTGGCCTCAAGCTCTCAGGCTGTCAGGGCCAGGTTGTCCAGGTGAGCTGGGAACTCAGCGCCTCTGCAGCCCAGTGCAGCTCACAGGTATGTGAGGTAAGTGTTCTTGAGATTTCGCCCATCAGACTGCACAAGCAAGAGTTAATAACCTTGTGTTGAAAGAATTATTCTATGGGCCATAAACGGGTCTGTGATATTAATTGCAGCAATCACAGGGGAGGAATCATCCCAGAGAGCCTATGGCAGAGGAATGACACTGTGTGCCCAGCAGGGGAGGCACTGAATACAAAGGGTACCTGGGGAAGCTAGAGTGGTGTCCTTACCAGCCCTTATCCACCCTCCAAAAGTCTCAGAAGGAATGTGTGGTAAGCTAGCAGGCCCAGAAACTCAGACCCATGTGTTAGCAACACCAACCTAGGGTCCTTCTCAGCCCTCTGGGACCCTTTGACCCTCACTGCTGGCTCTGTCCTTCAGACAGAGTGACCTGCTCCTAACCACTCCTATGGGAGTTCCTTTATCTAGCTCCAAGGATCATCTGAGGACTTTTTGCTTTGATGGAGAGCCAATGTGACATCGTTTTTTTTTTTAGAGGCAGAGTCTCACTATATAGCCAAAGCTGACCTTGAGCTTGCTCTATAGCCCAGGCTGGCCTTGAACTCACCATCCTCCTTCCTCGGCCTCCTGGGTGCTAGGATCACAGGTGTGCACCACTGTGTCTGGATGACATAATGATTCTGCAGTCGAACCATCTGGGTTCCAAATCATAGCCCCACCCCCGCTAGTTGTGTGACTTTGGGAAGGAGGTCCATGCTTTCCTGGATATTTCTTCCTTCGTAAAAGGATGGTTCCCATCCTGCAGGGTTGTTGCAGGAATGAGTGAACACATGAAGTTCACATTTTTACATGCCGTGAAAGTGTTGACAATTATTCCTTTTAACGATTAATATGTAAGCAAAACTCAATTCCTTATTATTATCCTTTAGCACTGATGATCTTGTTCCCGGCCTAGTTTCTTGCAGGATGTGATCTTCAGCTCCTCTGCCATAGGTAGTGCCCCCATGGAGCATGGGAAAGCATGTGAAGCGCCTAGTGAACAGGAGGCCCCAGTTCATGTCCCAGAGGAGCTCAGCTGCTCCTGCAATTCCTTGTGTCACTGCCTCTTAGCTAGATGACTGAATGACTGAGGGTGCAATATAAGCCCCTGCTCCTACCATCCTGTGCCCTGGTTCTGCCCTCCAAAAGCACTTGTGATGTAAGACAACCTGGACATTAAAAAAATTATGAACAACTTCATTAAGGAATAATCTAGTACTTTTTAAAGTTATATTTTGCACTGCTAAGGATGAAATCTGGGGCCTCACACATGCTAAGCCACCACTCTACACCCCCAGCCCAACTTTAATTTTCAATGTATATGTATATATCACAGATTTCGTTCTCCAGAGACACTGGGATGTTTATTGAATGTCCTTGGATCCACACCTTCATGAAGTCATTGTCTTGTAGGAGAGTTGGGTTCAAACCACAACACTTTTCCAAAGTAGCCAGGTCATTTGTAGTTCTAGAGGACAGAAATTTGAAATCCAGGTATTGGCAGGATGTTACTCTGTGGCTCTGGGTGGAGCCTTCCTTGCCTCTTCCTAGCTTCCAGTGGAAGCCCTCCATCCCTAATGTTCCTTGGCTTGCAGCAGTATCACTCCAATTTCAGCCTGTATTGTCACAAAGTGTCCTTCCTGGGTCTGTCCAACCTGGACATTTTTGCAAAGGGACCTGACCCAGGGAGCCAGAAGAGAAAGAAGACCAGCTCTGAGGAAGGACTGGGACGGGAAGGGTGTGCCTCCCAGAGAGGCAGAACCCTTCTAGCCTGGATACCTGTCCTTGCACATCACCTGCAGGCCCTGCAGACCTGGGACATGCTCCCATGTCTGCAAAGGGGATTGAGTACCCTGCCAGACTGGAAAGGGGAAGGCAGCAAGCCCGCAGCAGGGGAGCTCAGCTGCTCCTGCCACTCCTTGTGTCACTGCCTCTCAGCTCCATGACTGTGAATGACTGAGGGGTGCAATAAAAGCCCCTGTTCCTACCATCCTGTGCCCTAGTTCTCCCCTCCAAAAGCAACTCCCAAAGTCAGAGAACTTGGAGCTCAGAGGCCCCTCTTGCCATCTACCCACAGCTCAGCCTACACCGCCCTCACACTGTTAATGCATGATGATGCTGCACAGCCTTCACCCCGCAGACCTGCACCCCACAGAGGACAACAGGAGCGGGGAAATGTATGAGCACCTAAGGTGTGCGAGGAAGAAGGCAGTCTTTCCACAAATGTCACAAAACCTGCTCTTGCACTGCTCTTCCCTGTGATCTTCCCAGGGACCATGAAGTGGCTTGATGAAGTTAGAATCAAGGGCGGGAAGTCACAATCAGTGCAGAGGCATGATTCAGGCTGGAACCCATGACCTGTACTTGCCAGCCTGACTTCTACTCTCGGTGGCCCCTGGCTACCTCCCTTTTCTACTAGCTGAAAAGGTGGCTGGCAGGAGGAATTCCAGGTGTTAAGGGATAGGAGGAAGAGTGACAGGGCAAGACAGGGCTGACTTCCCTCAGGCCCAGAAAGGGTTAAGTCTCCATCTGCCCCTCCCCAACACCCCCCCAGAGGTCATCAGGGCTAGGTGAGTAAGGGAGGGGGAGGCCCCAGGGGGAAGGGGAGGCTTTTAGCAGGTGGAAGGAGGGAGGATGCAGGGTAATGGCTTTTCCTGGCACAGCTGACTCCTCTGGGCCTTGATGTGAATCTAGAAACTGGAGAGCAAGGTGTGGGGGGGGGGGTGCTCACAGACTAGGAGCAGGGAACCAGCTCACTCCTTGTTCCCATTTTGTATCCCCAGCAGGCATGTGGCTGAGATCTAGGTTCCTAGGATTTGAGGGAGTTTAGGGGACCCCTTTGACACCTGCATCCTTGCTGTGTCTACAGGATGAGACTCTTCCTTCCCTGTCCCCAATGGTCTACCCTGGCCCTACAGCCTGGCGCCAGGCAGCTAGGAGCAGGAGGCTAACTGTAGTGCCTGTCGCCTCAGGGCTCAGACTTAATCCAGTCACAGCAGGATGGGACTGGGATCCAGTCAGAGGCAAGGGACAGCTGTCATGGCGCCAAACTGCAGGAAAACTTAATCCCCCAGCCTGCCCCCCTCCCCCAGGGCATAGAAGGAGTTTAAATCTTTGAACCCCAGGCCTGTTGTCCCTGGGGGCTCCGACCCTTAGCAGGAGGTGAGGGGCCAGGCCCCAGTGCAGCTGTGAGTGGGAGGGAATGAGGACTTTGCTTTCCCTCTGCAAGGTCATGACTAAGGGAAAATGCATTGCTTGGTTCCCAGGGGCAGCTGCTATAGAAGTGGAGGTCAGCGATGGAAAAGCACTGGACATTGATGGAGGGAGAAAGTACAGTGCACACACACTACCCTAGAGAGATGAGTGTGCTACTCAGTACTTATAACCCTGTGTGCCAGCCTCCAGCTGCCTCCGAGGTCTATTCATGTGGATCCCATCTCCCCCACGTGACTTGATGGTCCTCTTGGGTGCCCACTCCCTTCAGAATATCAAAGCAGCAACAACAGTCAAGGTCTGGCTTCTTTCCAGGCAGTTTGGAAGCCCAGGACACAGCTGGCCTGATTTATCCTGAGTGCCAATCCCATGGCAGCCTCCAGGAGAGCAAAGGACAGGGGAGGACCCCAATTCAAGTCTGATCTGGCTGCTGGGGCTCTGGCAGGCTCCTCTGACCAGAGGGCTGTGCCCAGGCAGGCACTGTGAAGGATGGATGAAAGTCAGACCATTAAGTGGAGGTGGTGGAGCAAGAGGAATTGTGACCCTTTGACATGGTCCACTATGGCCCTATAGCTGGCTCACCAGGGAAACAGGAGACAGAAGAACAGGTTCAGACTAAGAACCTGTTCAGACTAAGAGTCCTTTAGGCCAGCTGCCAGGGTATCTGATTGGGTCTTGGTCTGTCCTGAGAAGTAGGGCAATTTCCCTCTGCCTATATAACCCATACCAGCTTCCCCACACTCCAGAAGTTCGGAGGCAGCCAGAACCCCAGGCCATAGGCTCCCTCCATCCTGGAAGGCACTGAGCAGTGCAGTGACCTCTCCCGAATTCAGAAGCCCAGCCTTATGCAACAGAGAGTTGGGGGGGTCATCTATAGTCACATGCTGTATTCCTGTGCTACTTGAGCCTATCTGGCAGGGCTGGTGACAGACTAGAAGTGGCAGGGCCCACAGATGTGGAAAGGACCTTCCCCATTGGGGGACAGAGCTAGAGAGGCTCACAAGAGGTCAGGAACTGGTTCATTGTCAGGTCATGGGAGGGATAGGCTGACTGATCCAAGTTCGGCAGGTCTGGGTAGTC